CAGATCGGGTCAGTCTGAGCTACAGTCGCATCTTACCTGCCTAGCTTCAAAAATTGTCAGTGTCGCTTCCAGCTGGGGACCAGATTTTATCACTGAACTAGAGCCCCCTCTGCTGGCGGAAGGAGGACGTACAGGCTCATCCGCGCATCCTGTCTCCTGTGGGAACAATCCCTTCTCCGCCGCTGGAACCCTTAGCAGCGACCTGGCTAGATATCTCCATGGTCTGGTTTTGCCGCAGTGTCTCCCAGCTCACAACATGCCTGGGAGCGAAGAAACGCTGGAAATCCCTGGAGTGCAGATGGGGAACGGAGCCACAGAGAGAACGGAGCCCTGCAGCAAGCGGGTTTCAGAGCCTGCGTCTGCAGACATCGGCTAATACTATGGCCTGTGTACAGGTGCAGGTGTTCCTGCTTGGGCTGCAGCTCATGGTATGAACCCCCCCACCTCACACTTCTCTGCTCCCCAGATTTCTGTGCCCGGGGCGGGGGGACATCTATTCCACTATTTTTAGCACCCTAGCACAAGCCTCAGCCTGCAGGCTTGGAGACGAGCAGCTGCCGGGTGTTTTTTGGGCAATGTAGCCATCCCCTAAGTGACATGCCCAAGGTCACTCTCAGTGTCGGTAGCAGAGCCAAGAAGCGACACCAGATCTCCTGGCTCCCAGTCCTTGTTTGAACGCCTGGACGACGAGAGAGAGGGGAGCATGAAACCAGCATCACCCACTGCCCAGTTCCGGCAAAGCCGACAAGTCAGACTGCTCAGCAGTGTCCCTGCCGAGGGACAGCCCTGCTAAGAAGCGGGCTTGTCGCATGTCCCTGTGTTAGGCCTCTTGGAACTTGCAGCCAGAGCTGGTGCCCATGGCTGCCTGGGGCGGCCCAGGCTTGGCCTAGGGGGTGGGATGTTAGAATAGGACGGTGCTGAGAATGAAAACTCCCTAGGGGAAAGGAGGAAGCAGTAAGAGCCTCCAGATGGGGTGGCGGTAGGGGATCCAAAGAGGGCAGTGGAGGAAAACAGGGCCCTTCTGACACCAGCTCCCGATCAATTTCAGTTCTCTCTGTGCAGAACCCCCCACTGGGTGCCTTTGCCATCCCTTGGGTCACCGCCAGCGAGCGAGGCTGCTCCCAAGAGAGCGGTTGTGGGAAGAAATGGGGGTGCCTTCTGAGACGTGCTCTCTAGGCGCCTTGCAGGCCTCAGAGTCTCCCCACGCCAGAGCCAGCCTGGGCCAAGTAGTCCAGCCTGTCGGATCGGTTTCCCCTGCTGTAAAGCAGAAAGGAGACAACTTGGGCCAGGGACCAATCTAGGCTGGTATCCTGTCTCTGATGCTGGCTAGGGCCAGGTGCTTCCCAGCAAGGTGCAGCAGGCAGGCAAGGGAAAACCTGCCCACGGGGCGAGTTTCCTCCTGACCCTGGTCCTTTCGAAGTGGCCTCGTGTGCTGAAGCACGAGGGTTTAAAACTCTTGGCAGCTTTTCATCTTTGCTGTTCTTTTCTGACCCTGCTCTGAACCCTGCCAGGCACCTGGCCTCTGTGCTATCTTGTGGCAGGGGTGTCCACAGGCGCGCTACACGCCAGGTGAAAAAAAGACAAACTCTTGAGCCAGTTGAAGTGAATCTCTCCCAAACGGCCCAGAACGGGAGAATGGGAGCCGTGCAAATGAGTCTGCAAGGATGAGACCAGTCTGTTAGGAACCGGAGAGGGGGAATAAACGTAGTGCCCCTTGTGCCACCTGGAGAGACGGTAGGTCAGAGCATGGGGGCCCTACGGTTGCATGGTTTAGGGCCAGCTTGTGGCAACATCCTTAAGATCTACGGGCAGAGCTATTAAACTGGTGCCGCTGTGCCCGATGGCAGCCGAGACGTGGTGGGGAATGAATTTTTTTGAGATGATTTTATAATCTTTGGCAAAACCCCAATGAAATAGTTTGAAAGCCAGTTTGGCACTCGGGTCCTGCAGCTTCACCGAGGAAATTCAGAACCCAACGGTACAGACCTGATGGGCTGGCATGTGCTTGTTCAGTGGCTTCGTTACCACGGCACTGGCTCTTTCGCAGGCCTGATGTTCTGCTCGTAACCCTGGCAGGCTGTGTCACTTCAGTTCACTAGCTCCTCTCCAGAGCACAGACCAGAGGTGGGTGGACATTCAGACCCGGGGTGCCCCAAATTTTCAGGGGCCCTACACAGCTGCGTATTCTGTGTATGGGTAAGGCCGGCCCTGCCCGCAGGCTGCTGCCTGTCTGCTGGGAACGGAGCCAGCGTCCCGTGCTCTGGGACGCCACGCTGCCCTGGGGAGGGAGGGAGGCTGGGCCGAGGTCAGTGATCATCCTCTTGAGGCAGCTTCCGCAGAAGCTGGCGCTGCGAGGGGCCGAGGGGCCCCCTGGTGGGGACGCCTGGGCTCCGCAGGGACATTGCAAAGCCCCCTTGCTCTGCCCTGTGGAACCCTGCCTGTGTCGGCGAGGCTGGAGCGGCTGCTAGAGGATGCGCTCAGCTGGCCTCTGTCCTCTCCTGCCCATGGCCGGCAGCAGCACACCTGGGGGGTGGGGACGACAAAATGGCTCCTGCTAGCCCCTTTGGGCCCGATCCTGAGGGCCCTGTGGAGTGGGGCAGGCTGCAAGGGCTCAGGCTGCAGCCATTTCCACCAGGCTCTTCTCTCCCCATGAGCCTCGCATGTCCCTTCGCTCCCCCCCACCCCCTCTCTGCACTTCTACCCCCTTCTTTGCCCTGCTGCTGAGTGCTGTCCTGGCAACCCCCCATCCCTCCCCACTCCACAAAATGCCTTTGGCTATGGCTGGGGCCCCAACAAACTTGGGGGGGGGCCGCTCCCCTCTAGGTTCACTCCCCTGAAAGGGAAAGCACTCTCCCTCTTAGAGCCAGGCCCCTGCCCTGCCCCCTAGCAAGGGGGGGAAGCGTGGGCTAGTATAGAGATCTATAAAATCACAGAGAAAGTGTGTAAGGAAAAGTGATTTACTTGGTCCCATAACATAAGAACTAGGGGGGCACCCAATGAAATGAATCGGTAGCAGGTTTAAACCAAAAGGGAGTTTTTCTTCATGCAGCGCACAGTCAACCTGTGGAACTCCTTGCCAGAGGAGGTTGTGAAGGTCAGGCCTTTAAAGGGTTCAAAAAGAACTAGATACATTCATGGAGGTTAGGTCCTTCAATACTTATTAGCCAGGATGGGTAGGAATGGTGACCCTGGCCTCTGTTTGTCAGAGACTGGGAATGGGTGCCAGGGGAGGGATCACTGGATGATTCCCTGTTCTGTTCACTCTGGGACACTTGGCACTGGCCACTGTGGGCAGAGAGGACGCTGGGCTGGATGGACCTTTGGTCTGACCGGGTCTGGCTGCTCATGCTCTAAAACAGAGGACAGGGCAGGCGGGCATCTCCTCAGCGCTGCTATTGGCCCTCTTTGTACATTAGGCAAACCCCAGTCTCACTCCTGGCCCGGGTGTTCCCATCTGTGAAATGGGGATAATCTTCAGGGTCAGGGAGTGCCCGGAGGCCCTGCTCAGGGTCCCCCGTGTGCTGGGTGGGTGCACCCAAAGGCACAGCCCATGCTCTGAAGAGCTTCCCTTTGCAAAGGGCTGGCAGCCCCCGTGGG